TAGCCCTCGTCTGTTCTCTTTAATTCCTCTTGCCCGAAAAATCCAACGCTGACGATGGATAGAGTAAAGAGTTAGGTGTCTATTGGACAAACAAGGCTGTCTTGTTAGGTTAAATTAATCTATTCCAGATTGCGTCTGATCAAACTTGATCTTTTTCACTGAAAATTTTTAATAATAGCCCCGATTAAAAATTAACTTGATTTAAGTAGTTAATTTTTTTATCTTCAAAAAATCTTGTACTAAAAAAAACATTTTGAAGAATTTGATGATCTTAAGGAGATCCAAGTACCCTCCTAGTGTAAACAATGTCTATGAAAAAAAAATAATTGTTCTGTGCAGGTAAAAGGTGTGATAAAAAATAATCGCTAAATGCTTCAAACATTAGCTTGTTCGATTCATGGCTTCTTTTCTATTATTCTTCGATTTTTTAGGGTCCTAATATTATATATATGCTCATATAATTTTTTTACCAGAAGTAGTTTTAAAATTTTCCGATAGATGGCGCATGGTCGCTAAATTTTCTCGCTACTAGAGAGTTAATTTTTAAAAATAAGTTATAAAAAAATTTAATATCTTGGCCAAAAGTAGTTTTAAAAATTTCCGATAGGCGGCGCATGGTCGCTAAATTTTCTCGCTACTAGAGAGTTAACTTTCAAAATATAAGTTATGAAAAAAATTTAATTTATTTATGAGAAGTAGTTTTAAAAATTTCCGACAGGTGGCGCATGGTCGCTAAATTTTCTCGCTACTAGAGAGTTAATTTTTAAAAAATAAGTTACGAAAACAATTTAATTTTTTCGACACTTTTACGGAGCTTATGTCACATTAATTTCCAATTTGATAAATTATTAAGTTAATATTTGTTTAAGGAGGTCTAATTATCCTTCTAGTGTTAAAAATAATATTTTTAAGGTAATTTCCGGAAAATTTACTCATTAAATAATTATTAACATTTAATTGTCTAATAAAAAATATAGCACTCTGAATTACCTTAAAAATTCCTAATTAAATTCCTATTTAAATAAATTTTATATGGCTCAAAAATTTTTCTATTTCATTAAATTAAAAATTAATTTGTTTAAAATAATATTCTTGGTTCAAGATTTTTTCTCTTGCCTCAACTTAATTTTTTTTTAACAATGTATGCAACAAAGTTTAAGAAAACTGAAAAATAAATTTTTTTTTCTATCTAGAGTACAAAATATTATTGATTATATTCTTATCATAAAAATAAATCTTCCATAGCACTAAATTAAATCATTCATAAAAGCACTTAATTTAATCCTGGGACTGATACTAATTAATTTTTGTGTAAAGAACAGATGTTTGTTTACAAATTGTTAAACGCAATTTTTGATTGTTATTCGTAAATGAAAAAAAAAAGAAAATTGACAATTAAAAATTAACGAATAATTAATAAACGATGATGAAATAGCTGGAATTGGTGCTATGCGTGATATAGAAACATATACGAGGGCAATCGCCTGTGGATTTACTCGAGGGAGTTGGTGACTGTACTGGTGGGTGAAGGCACTTTCATCACGAATCGTATTATATGCACAGAATAACGAGGTGATGATATCTAAACTCGGTAACGTGTACTTATAATATGCAAATCCCGGTTTCTCACTGTAGTAATTTTTTTAGTTAAATTATTATTCGCTATAAATTTATTTTAATTGGAGGTTGTTTGAGAAAAAATTGCTGTACTAACTTTTAAAATTATTTAATTAATTGAGAAAACATTCAACGTAATAATTTTTTTTTTTTTTTAAATATTTCTTTTGAATCAAATAGTTATTTTCTTCAGTACAGCGTAAAATAAATATATCTTCTAGTCTTTTTTATCCGTGGTGAATAAATTTGTCTGAGTGCAGTTACAGTAACAGTTATCTTAGTAAAAGATTGGGACAGCTGCCTGTTCACAGGCAATCAGAAAAACTACCCTCTTTTAAGTATCTCTATCCTCAAGTATTTCTCGCTTTTTTTTTATTTTATTTTATTTTCCTCGGTCCGGCTTAGCTCCTCGTTCTCGTCTACGGGGATGGGTGTCCCGAATGAGAAACTAAAACCGAACATCTTAGTCTTAGTCTAGCGCTTGGCGGCTTTAAAGAACTTTAACGCCTTTGATTCTAGTCCCGATTTTTCACGATTTATATTAAAAAAAAAAAATAATTATTTATTATCACTATCACTGTTATTATTGTTATTATTTTATTAAAATTTTATGTTTTATGTATTAGATGATTTTTTGTTTCAAACAACACGTGTCGTGAATAGTAGACAAGGGGGAGGAAGTGAGTGTAGAGTCGACTACGACTACGACGACGTGTCAACGGTTAATACCGATATAATCGGGGGGTGGGATGCTAATGTCGGAGCATCTATTACCCTTAAGCTCTGATGGATCCCACTTGACGTCTCTTGTCTCATTCTCGCGATACGCGGCAGTTCTCCTATCCCCGTGGAAAGGGGGGGGGGCCGAGTAAGCAGGCAGCCGGAGCATTTGAATGCGAGTGTCAAGGCCATTCAAGGTGTCCAGCCAGCTCTATTCTATATTCCATGTTTCATAGAGTTCCTTCATGAGTCTTCCTCTCGAGTCTTCTATTTTATTCAAGCCCCTCGATCAATTATCGTCATATAAGTGATTCACTAATTCAGACGTTAAGACGTTTATATTGACGGGATTTGAATAATCATAGCTTATGCCTAAAAAAATTTAAATAAAGGGTTTTATTCCTCTTATTTTGCTTAATTATATGCAAAATTTAAATCTCCAAAAAATTTATTATTATTATTTTTATCCCAAAATTAAAAATAATAATAATAACTAGCAACCTTGAGTCACTATGTGACTGCGATGAATTGTGAACTATAAATAAATAAAATTTTGCTTTATTAAATAATTACTTTTGTTTAATTGCACTGTACTTTCTTAACTATTGACATTTTTAAAGATATAAGCTCATCCTGATGTTACACTCATCAAGAGCTTTCATTTGAGTACCCACATGCATTTTTGATATATTTTTCATATA